TCTCGTCGACTAATGGTTAGTCGACTATTAGGGGGCAGCCCTAGTGTAAATGTTGTATACCTCCTGTCCAGGTCAGAAGCAGCAGCGTAGTGCACAGCAGAGCGCCCCCACTGGTCAGTGGCATTAATGCAGGTACCGCAGGACACCAAAGTCTCCAGGCACTGAAAGTGTCGACTAGCTGACGCATAGTGGAGAGGGGTCCTGTCATCACCCACAACAAAAGAGAGAGGGGGGAAAAATAATTTGACAACATTTAAGAAAGTTTCAGTTTCAGAGTACAAACAAATTAGTACAGTAGGAATCAACTGAGAACATGTCTAAAACTTGAGATTTCAGTTAAATTTAGCACAAAATACAAGTTTTCATGAAAATGTATTTAATTTTTAAAGAGACATAATGACATTTATAATATATGACAATTAATATTATTTATATTCATAAATTATTTAGAAATTATCAATATAAAAATACAATGAAATCTGAATATATGTGGTTGAAATGTTACTATACGGTAAAATGATGATAAAGTTTTCCATTAACCCAGCATTTTAAAAAGCTTAACAATTAAAACATTATTTTGACTTAATGCTGAACAAATCTTTAAAAAACATGTTGGTAACATGTCGAAAAAATGTAAAGAAAATTTGTGATTTTAGACAAATTCACTCACTGCTCCTGAATGCACTGAATAGCACAGATATGTATACTGTCTATGTAGAAGTTTTAGAGAATTATCCTGATGTACATGTCTTGTGTTTACCAAAAACTCACCTTCCATGTTTGTCCCTGCGGTTATGATCGGCTCCACTGCTGAGCAATAGCTTCACACATTCCACATTCCTGACAGAGAGATTGAGAGATAAAAAAATAACTTGCCGTGAGCTGGAATGCAGACAGACAACAGGTCCGACCGGTATTTGTCTGAACAATGGACGATAAGGTAGTCATCAGGAAAGGTCCAATAACCTTATTAGTAATAACTCTACATCCACATCTCTACAGTGTGTATGCACACATGAAATGTACTGTCTTTATGTGTGATTTCAGCTAAGCTAAATATTAGCTTAATAATATAATATAAGCTAAATATTTTTTTGTTTGAATTTGTAATTCTGAAATACATTTTTGAAAAGCAAGCAAACACCAGCACATATTTTTCATGCCATCCAACAGGCAAGATCCAGATCTGCAAGACAGACAGACTCACCCGCCTGCAGCTGCGGCATGCAGACACGTCCTCCCCAGGTTGTCTGGCGTATCGATTTGGAAGCCTGCAGACAGGACCGAGTCATTACTGAGAGGGCACATTATGCTACACCTCTGTCCTGTAGAGGAATGGAAGTATGGGAAGGAAGGATGCAGTGCACGGAAGAGGAAAGTGCCCCCACACCCAGACGCAGACAGCCACAGTATCAGACCGCAGGAGGGGAAAGAATGACACGGGGGGGAAAGGAGTCCAAAAAAGAGACAGTGTGAGAGAAAGAGAGACAGAGAGAAAGGAAGTTAGTTCAGGATAAACAAAGACATAGGATAGACAAGACAAACACACATCGCTAACAGAGGTGAGAACACAAATGTGTGCAACCAAGCCGAACAATTCAAAAGTACAGATGTAGCATCTACATTCTAATACAACAAACCAACAATCAAGAGGCAGAGTAAAGAAAGCACACAGATATAAAGGCATGCCAGACATAAGCAAAGAGACATGAGGAAAATTCATGCTCATCAATTCAGATACAAAAGATCTATAACTCAGGGTTAACCTAATTACAGAAAGAACAGTGGCAAAGTATTCCTTCAACATAAACAGTAATTTATGAAATAATAATTTATGAAGAGATAGGTTGTCTGAGTCACATCAACTTGAGGGGTTCAGAAATTTGTCCCCTCCTCATATCAACATAGACAACAACCAAAAATATGTGGACCATACCAAGTGCTTACTGAATATTTCATTTCAAAACCATGGGCATCAATAGGGAGTTTGTTCTTCTTTTGTTGTTGTAACAACTTCCAAAATTCTGGGAAGGTTTTTCACTAGATGATGGAACATGGCTGCAGGGATTTTCTCCCATTTAGACACAAGAGAATCAGTAAGGTCAGGAACTGCTGATTTACACAACATGTCATGTCAAATCACCCAGTGTGGATGTGAAAGCTTTCTAAGGGAAATGGATTTGAGAGCAATGAGAGCTCAAAGTATCCCACACCCGGTGTGATTTGTGGTCAAAGAAATGAAATCTAACATTTTCCAACAAACACCCGGTCTCTGGAGGTCAGAAAATAATTTAAACATACACTACCATTTCAAAGTTTGGTCTCAGCATGATTTTTGTATTTAATAGTGCTGTCAAATGATTAATCGCGATTAATC